AAGACGAGGTAGAGATGAGAGAGCCCCATATATTTGCTTTTGGGGGGAAATTCCCTGGAAGATATGTTAGCAGGAAGCTTTCCTGTTCCTTACCTATTACAGGAGGTCCTACTGTGGCACCCAGTCCAGATAACGCATGCAGTCTGTCTCTCTCCTACAGGATGAATTTTTAGATGTGATCTACTGGTTCCGACAGATCATCGCTGTGGTCCTAGGTGTCATTTGGGGAGTGTTACCATTGCGAGGTTTCTTGGGAATAGCAGGGTAAGTCTTGGATATCTTGCATTTTCTTTTCTTTCTTTTTTTTAATGTATCTTTGTTGATTTCAGAGAAGCAGAGAGAGAGATAGAAACATCGATAATGAGAAAGTCATTGATCGGCTGCCTCCTGCATGCCCATGACTAGGGATTGAGCCCACAACCCCAGGCATGTGCCCTAACCAGGAAATGAACTTCGATTTCCTGGATCCTAGGTTGATGCTCAGCTGCTGAGCCACGCCTGGCCGGGCAAGGTCCTTACATTTTAGAGGCAATGAAAAAGTCAAAGGATTGGCCCTCCACCGTCTCCTGTGCTCCTATGGCCAGTGGAAACGGTTGACACTAGCCCCTGGTCGTGGCTCTGCTTCTTAACAACCCACTGAAAATGAGTTCACATGCCCACTCCCCACTTGATTGAATTAAAAGGATATGTGGGAATTGGGGGCAAGCAGTGGTGGACGTGGACAGGCAAGCTGTCACCTTTTTTCATGCAGGGAATATAAACTGTCACCCTTACCATGGAAAAGTCACATTGATTTTTTTTTAAGGGGTGGTCACATCTCTTCTCCTCTTACCCTAGGGTGAAATAAACTCATTTGAGTTGCCTGTTTTCTCACAGGGTGACCCAAAAGGAATACAGCTCTCCTAACTAACAAGGTTTTTGATTTATGATACTGAGCTGAGCATTTGTACAAGAAAACATTAAGAGTTTATTCTCTGCCTGACTTTGATGGAGTGCACACTTGATGAGGGCTGATTGGGGATGATGAGACCCAAGACCTGGTATTCACAGAGGTCCTCCCAGGTTGGAGGTGGTATATAGATACTTTGAGAGTGTTGGTCACCCCATTTGAGCTTTCTATGAGAGAAAAGGCAGAAAAGAGAAAAATGCCAGAGAAGGAGGAAGGGCAATCTAAAAGCTAGAGGGAGTTTCTCATCGTCCCATGGCCACTTGTCTAGGAGAGGTTCAGAGACCCTTGAACCTATTATGTCTTGTAGGATTCCTAAAGGATTTCTCTGAAGTCACCAATCTGGAATAATAGAGCAAAGATTAGAGCTAGTCTGATATACCTCATACTGTGGCAGAAGAGTTAAACTTGCCAAACAGATCTTCCTTTCTTTTTAACTTTATAGAAAGCTCTGAATTCAAGTTCTAGCTTTGTCACTTTCAGGCTACATAATTTTGGCCTCAGCTCTCTGAGACTCAGTTTCCTTATCATTAAAATGGGGGCAATAGCCTAGCTGGGCGTGGTTGAGCATTGACCTAGGATCCAACAGATCGAGGTTCAATTCCTGGTCAGGGCACGTGCCTGGGTTGTGGGCTCGATCTCCAGCAGGGGGCATGCAGGAGGCAGCCGATCAATGATGACTTTCATCATTGATGTTTCTCTCTCCCCCTCTCCCTTCCTTTCTCTCTGAAAATTAATAAAAATACATAATAAATAAAGGAGCAATTAAAATGCCTGCCTCATAAGATTGATGTGTGAATTAAATGAAACAATGCAAATAAATTGCTGAATGTAGTGCTTAGTACCTCACAGGCACTCCATAAATCGTTCACTGCAATTATATGATTAGCTTTACAAAGAGTGGCACAATACCGCTTTTGAGAAGACAGGAAACGTGGCGTTTGGAGTGAATTCACCTTGGAGTGGATCACCCATAGTGCATAGAGCTGCTTTTTCAGGACTGCTTTCTGTGGTTCACTCCCACACTGTCCTGCCAGAGCCAAAACTCAAATCCCTTCTCTCCTTTGGTTGGCACCTTTTCCCCTGCTCTTGGAAAGAGCCCAAGGACATTGATTTTTCCACTCACATCTCTTCTCCATCTGTCTGACCCAGCTGCCTGGATGTAAGAGCAGAACTTCTCTGGTGCTCCGTTCTGGTGACTCCTCCCCACTTCTGCCATAGCTGCCCTCTGTTTTGGTTCCAGCTTGGCTTATTTCTGGTGTAGCCACCAGTTAGGGCCCATTAATGTAAAACACTTTCCTCGGGTCTCAATTATAATTTGCTGAAGAACTGAGTGATGCTTCTGTGGTTTTGCATTATCAGAGGTGGGCCCTTTCCATCCCTTCCTGCCTGTCTCATAGAGTTTGGCATATGATTAATAGGTGCTCAGTGAATGCTTGTTAATTAAAAAAAAATAAAATTTAAATCCTTACCAGAGGACATGCTTTTGATTTTTAGAGAGAGGGAGAGAGAAACATCTATGTGAGAGTGAAACATTGATCTGTTGCCTCCCAAACGCACCCCAACTAGGGATCAAATCCGAAACCCAAGTATGTGCCCTGACTGGGAGCTGAACCCCGTGACCTTTGGTACACTGAATGACGCTCTAACCAGCTGAGCCACCTGGCCAGGGCTGCTTGTTAAATTTTCTAAAAAAAAAAATGAGCCCGGCCCACGTGGCTCAGTGGTTGAGCGTTGACCTATGAACCAGGAGGGCACTGTTCAATTCCTGATCAGGGCGCATGCCCAGGTTGCAGGCTCTACCCCCAGTAGGTGGCGTACAGGAGGCAGCCGATTAGTGACTCTCATCATTGAGATTTCTCTCTCTCTCTCCCTTCCTCTCTCTGAAATCAATAAAAACATTTAAAAAAAACAAATGAATTCCCATTGACTCTTGAAAGCAGGGCCATATGTTACTGTTGTCATGTAGCCTTCCAGCCCTGAAGTCATAGTATTTGTTAGGTTCATTATTTTGTTAAATTTTGACAGGAGATTTTAGGATAGAATTAAAAAAAAAATTTTTTTTAGTATGTTTGTGTTTTGTTTTTATCCTCACCAGAGGATATTTTTTCTGTTGCTTTTCAGAGAGAGTAGGAGAGAGAGACATGGATGTGAGAGAAACATCGATTGGTTGCTTCCTGCATGCACCCTGAATAGGGCTGGGGATTGAGCCTGCAACTATGGTACGCTCCCTTGGCTGGAATTGAACCCAGGACCCTCCAGTCTGCGGGTGGATGCTCTTAACCACTCAGCAAAACCAGCTAGGGCTTAATATATTTTTATTGATTTCAGAGAGAGGAAGGGAGAGGGAAGAGAAATAGAAATATCAATGATGAGAGAGTCATTGATCAGCTGCCTTCTGCATGCCCCTACTGGGGATTGAGCCTATAATCCAGGAATGTGCCCTGACCTGGAATCAAACCGTAACCTCCTGGTTCATGGGTCGACACTCAACCACTGAGCAACACTGGCTGGGCTCCTTGGTTGATTTTTGTATTGTGCCCTGACCAGAGATTGAACCCACAACCTTGGCATATTGGGACAGTGCTGTAACCAACTGAGCTACCTGGCCAGGGCATAAGATAGAATTTTTAAAAACCCATTTGAGAGTCAGTCTTTTTTAATGTTCTTCTCCAACCTCCAATCCAGCACGTTCATTTCTTTGTCTGCACATTTGCTGTGAAGTTCTCACCCTTGTTTACAATACAGAAATTACTCCCATCTTTAAAACTCAGTGTGAGCCTTTCCAGTCCTTTCTGGACCCCGCCCTCTTGACCACCAAGCATTTAAATACCTTTGTTTCTGTGGCTTCACTTTCTTCTAAGTGTGTAACCTTAGAAGGAAGGATTTGTGCTAACCCTTTTCTTTCTCCCTGCCATTCCTTATCTCACCTTTCCCTGGTATTTCCCTCTCATCTCACCAAGCAGCCGCTCTTACAGCTTACCTCATTTGATGAGTCTCCAGTCATTCTCCAGCCCTAGTGACATTTCTAAGTCCCATTAGTAGTCTCTGTCTAGAGCCACTAACTCAGCCTGTTCAAAATGAAACTCTTGTTAGAGGGAAGTATCCAGATCGGCCAGGTCCCAAGATTTCTGGCAGAAGATAAGGATGTGGCCACAATATAGCCAAGCCAAGGACTATTTTAGGTGAAATCCAAGAAAACCTTCGTTCTTCCTGACTTCCTGCTTCTGTTACTGAAACCATTGTACTCCTAGGCCCTTAGGCTCCAGCCCTTAGGCTTTCCCTCCCCATTCAGCCACTGTCCTAGTCACCGTCCTCAAACTTCATTGGCACTCTTTTCCTGAAACATGGTACAGGTCTAAACCAGACTCCCAGCTCAAGTTCCTCCCACTCAGGAGAAAGCCCTCACTCGCACTACTTACTAGGCTTCCGGAAGTATGCACACCCCGCCTCACCCCCACCTTGCTCTGCCTGCCTCAGGTGGGCCCATTATATACTGGTTTACATGAGTCAGCATCATCTAACTGCCTTGCCCTCAGCAGCCCACACTTCATCCATTAGGAGGAACCGCTTCTCTGCATTTTTTTACCTCAGTCTTCAGAAAGAATAGGACTTAAGACATTCAGTCCTCCATCAAAATCTTGATCACTTTGTAGGTTACTTTTACATGACGACAGTACCAAGAGATCAGTAGAGCAGGGCAATATATTGCTACTCGCCCAGCCGTGGCTCAGTGGTTGAGGGTCGACCTAGGATCCAGGCGATTGGGGTTCGATTCCTGGTCAGGACACATGCCCAGGTTGCGGGCTCGATCCCCAGTTGGGGGCGTGCAGGAGGCAGCCGATCAATGCCTCTCTCATCGTTGATGTTTCTCTCTCTCATTCTCCTTTCCTCTCTCGGAAATCAATAAAGATATATTTAAAAATATATATATATACATATATTGCTACTCACTGCATTCTAATTCTTCCATCAGTTAAATAATACATGATGGGGCTCAAAGACCTGCCTAGAGGTACTTGCAAACCTCTGGTTTCAATTCCACTCTCAGTACTATTTCTATTTTTTATTATTTTTTAATTGGTTTTAGAAAGAGGGAGAGAGAAACATCAATGGGTTGCCTCCATGCATGGCCCAGGGGATCGAACCTGCCACCTTTTGGTGTACGGGACAACACTCCAACCAACTGAGCCACACTGGTCAGGGCCTCACTGCTGTTTTTAGCCCCTAGTAATGGCAGGAACTCTCATGTTCACCTCCGCAAGTACAGTAGCAGACAGTGAACATCCAGAGATTGTCTCGTATTGGGAATTCTGCATGGGCTTTTTTAGTATACACCCTTGCTTGCTCAGTTAGGCCATGAAGCAGCAGCTTAACATGTGTTTGTCCCATGGCCACCCCTCGCCCCAGCTGGAGCTACCTAGAGACTCAAGTGAGGTACTGGTCCTACTTGGGACCAGTCTGTCTTACTTTAAGGTGGCTTGGAGAACTTAAATCTGCTTTTTTATTTCATTTTTTGCTTTGGCTGGGCAACTAAAAAGAGTTATTCCTTCTTTAGGTCTCTAGCTCAGCAAAATGGGTAGCTCCATTGAGGGGCCAGGTGTTTTCATGTGTTATTTCACTTTCATAATAGAATAGTTAACTGTGCAACAATGAAGTACCTTAATAGAGCTGAACCATGGTGGTGGGAGTTCTGAGTCTTCCAAGCTTATGGTTTGTTTTTGGTGCTTGTCTTCCCTCCAGATTCTGCCTGATCAATGCAGGAGTCCTGTACCTCTACTTCAGCAACTACCTACAGATAGATGAGGAAGAATATGGCGGCACATGGGAGCTCACGAAAGAGGGGTTTATGACATCTTTTGCGTTGTTCATGGTATGTATACCTGATAGTTTTATAGCAAGTAACATCATTTCCTGAGTTACTCAAGGGGAGCCTACTGATTGAGTTACACTGTGTGATTGGGGTACCATTTTTCACAAAGCTCGTGAGGCCAGAGGGCATGTCTACTCTTGAGTCACATTGTCCCAAAAGATGTGGTGTGATATACTGTACAGTCTCCCTGTGGTGTGAAAATCCTAAGCCCATTGTGAGCTTTTACATCTGATTCTCAACTCTGGCTGCATATTAGAAACAACTGGGAAACATTTTAAAATATATTCATAGCATTATTCTTAATAGGTAAAATATACAAAGTTATCGATTGAAGAGTGGATATTCATGCAGAATATTATTTGGCCATAAAAGGAATGAAGTACTGATACATGCTACAACATGATGACCCTTGAAAACATGCTAAGCGAAAGAAGCTAGACAAAAGATTACCTATTGTATGAATCCATTTATGTGAAAATTCATACAGCCTGGCTGATGTGGCTCAGCGGTTGAGCATCAACCTATGTTCCAGGAGATTGTGGTTTAATTCCTGGTCAGAGCACATGTCTGGGTTTGCGGGCTCAATCCCTGGTGGGGGGCGTGCAGGAGGCAGCAGATCAATGACTCTCTCATCATTGATGTTTCTGTCTCTGTCTCTCTCCCTTCCTCTCTCTGAAATCAGTAAAGACACATTTAAAAAAAATTCATACAGACAACAGTTAAATTAGTGATTGCCAGTGGCTATGGGAAGGGGAAAGGGGAAATAACTGATCTTTTTAGGATGATGAAAATGTTCCAGAATCAGTTAAAAAATGGTGATATGTACATACCTCTGTGAATATTAAAAAAAACCTCTGAATTGTGTTGTTGTTTTTTTAAAAATGGATTCAGTAAGAAAATAAACACCGGGGGGGGGAAAACAACCCTCTGAATTGTATACTTTACAGAATATAAATTATATCTAAAATTTTTTTATTTTTAATTTATAGACTCTAGCCTAAGCCAATAAAATAAAAATCTCTGGGAGGTGGCACCTGGGCCACAGCATAATACTTTTAAAGGTCCTAGGAGATGCAATGTGCAGTCAGTTTTGACAATATGTATGTTATTTGATATGGCACTGACAGGGTATAATGGTGGTTTTGTTTTCATATTTATGGCTAATCCTAACATCTACTAGCAGCATAGTCTGCTTTACCTGTTTTGTTTCTACATCTATAACTCCACTCCCTGACACTTGGTTTGCTGTTTGGCAAGGTCAGAGGCTTGTCTGGGGTCCCTTTGGAAACACAGGCAGGTTGGTCCTGGGCTGTTAGTGACAGCTTGATTTCAGTGAAATTATTTAGGTCCCCAGACATTGTGCATTGGATAGCCCCTCGGGAGCCCACTGTGCAGACATCTGACTGTTTTGTGGAATAGGGGCCTATGTTGAGCAGGTGACCTATGAACATTGCTTGTCTCCTCTCCAGGTCATCTGGATCATCTTTTACACTGCCATCCACTATGACTGATGGTGTACAGTCCCCACCTGCTCCATTTCTGGTCCAAAGGACCCTCTTAGTTACAGCACAGAAACATGATTATAGGGGCACCCCAGCCACATGGAATCTGGAAGACACGTTTCCTGGACCAAGAATCAGTGTGTTGGGCGTCAGTGTTTTCTGCAAGTGTTGTGACCTGAAACTTTTTAAAGAACCATCCACCTTTTGGGGAAGCATTTCTGAATTGTCCACCACCAACCATGTCTTCTTGGATACCATCATGACACACCTATTTGCAGATTGGAGCTGTCGTTTAATTTGATGCACCTCTGGATCTGGATGAAACATTAAATTATCTTCCTCACTTCTCCATCAGGTGTACAGTTTTTAAACTATCAGTGGCATTTCAAGTCTTTCAAAAAGAGTATGGCAGTATGTGCATGGTCCATAGCATAGTACAAGCGGTATCTAGTAACAGTTTCTATTGTAGAATGTTTTCAGATACTTGAATAAATCAGATCTTTAATTGACAACCTGTTGCTGGTACCTGGTAAAAGCCTGAGAAACTAGTGGAACACAAGAGGGGGTGCCCTCCCGTCTCTATCCCTCCTTCCTCTCCCTGCTCCCTTAGCAGCTCCAGCCAGGCCTCTTTCCCTTTGTGGGCTTAGGCCAAGGCCTTGGCTTTGTGGAGAGAAGGCTTACCACTTTTTGATGCTCTAGTGCCCCTGCCCAGCACTGAGAGCCACACATGACTGACCTCATCCCAGTATGCTGGGCTCAGAAGGTGTCATTTTGCATTGGGCCACTAGATGGCAAGGCCATTAAGACTTGGCCAGGTCCAAATAAGCTGCAAAATGAAATAGAAATCTGAGAGCTACAACTGTTCAGAGAAGGGGCTTGGTGGGGACATTTGAGGACCTGGACTGTCAGAAGTCCTCCTCTTTGCTCTAGGGTCAGGGGGAAGCTGGACAGCACAGGTTCCGCTGCTGTGTTGAGCCATCTATCCCCTCTGCTTTCCTGTCCCTTGTAAATTTTCTTCAGATGATTTTCTTCTTGAGGCTAGTGGTCCTTTCTAACTTGTGGGTGGGGCTGGTTAGCAGGGCGGGGGAGGGGTTTGAATGGGACTCGGCTGGCAGGGGAGGAAAATGTGCTGGAATTCCCAAACTTGGGCACTGACTACATCATACCCCAGAGGAAGTTTAGTCTCTTTGGAGCCCTGGCCCTGTTCTCAACTGGTCTGTACTTGATCTGTACTTGAACTAGAGATTGCAGGCAGGGTCTTGGCCCTGGGAGGAGGTGTGTGATTTCTTAGGACTCAGAGGATGCAGGTGGGACCTTGAATGTGCCTGTGTGGCCCTCCCCTCTCCTCACTGTACAGCCTTGCCTCTAGGGTACGCAGTCAGGCTGAGCTGACTTGGGATTCTAGGTGCTACGACGGTCCCCTTTTGGCCTCTGGGCTTTGGCATCGTCCAAGGAGATGTCATCAGTCAGGCTGATGTAGGAGCTGAGGGCCTCCCGGAGCCCCTCGCTGAGGAGAGCCGCCTCCCCTGTGGCAGGTGCTTCAGAGAGCAGGAGGGAGCTATGGAGGGTGGAAGAGCTAGGTCAAGGAGCTTTGTCTTCCCTGCACTTCCCACACAGTTCAGTTTTTAATTCACTTGTGAAGAACTCGCAGTGGCCCCCGTTCCCTATCAGGTTGAACCACAGCTTGGCTTCTCCACTCAGGACTGGGGCTGTCCGTCTACCTCATCTTGACTGATCTCCCTTCCATTCTGGCCACCTTCATGTTCAGGCATGCCCTGTGTACAGGGCCACTTCCTGCTCCCTGCCACTCCCCCACCCACCCCCTGAGCCTATGTTGGCTTCTTAGAGCTTAAGCAGTGCTCACTCACCCCCCAGTAGCCCTGGAGCTCATTCTGGGCTGTGGGTTCTCAGGGGTAATCCTAACTCCCCCTTGTTCTGCCTTCATGTTCCAGGGGTCCCCTCACCTGTCCAGCTCCTTCCAATTGAGGGGAGCCCTCTGCACAGTCACAGGTAGGGGTATGTCTTTGCCAGGGACTGGACCAGCTCTCCGCAGGGCGCAGGGCTTCTTGAGGAGGCAGCAAATGTCATCCGCCAGCTCTGAGGAAGAGACCTAGACTGTTGATATAGGTGACTCCAGCCCTGCTTTACTCTCCAACAACCACCACCCACCCAACAGCTTTACACACTTAGCAGATGGGAGCATAGTCTAAAAAGGGTTCCAGGGCATGACCCCCAAGATGTTGGCCTCCTAGAGGCTGAGACACAATCAAAAGTCATTCTGGGCTAGGTTTTGGAAGACAATTTCCTGTGGTTTGGGGTAAATTGATGGACCTCTTTAAGCCCAGTTTCTGGCTAGGAAAGTGCTTTGGGAAGAAGAAAACGGAGGAATGTTCATTCTCTACTTGTGCTGTCAGTGTCTGTCGTGTGAACATCCTCCACCAGCCCCTGGGTCAGTCTCCCCAGTTTTACTCTCCCACATCCTCATGCCGCTAGTCCCCTGGCGCAAGAAAATGTTAAGAATCAACTTGAATTCCACAGCAGCAACAAATCTGGGCCTAGTTCCTGCACAGAGAACTGCGCTTGCCACTGGGGCTTTGACTCAACTACAGTGGTGGATGAGTCACTGGCCTGCGCTCACACGGGTCTGTGTGGCTCTCAGGGTATGGGGTAAAGATCGGGCTGCCCCCCTGTGTTTCTTGGCACAGGGACTGGCATGAAGGTAGGGGAGGCCCTCTTCCATCTGTCTGGATATTCTTTAGGAGGTAAAGTGTCTAAGGATACTCTGACCCCTAAAATTCACATCCCAGTCTACCCTCATTGAGGCAAGGAAGGGCCATACCGGAGTAATGGTCCACCAGGGCCTGGAGTGAGGGGAAAGTGAAGCGTGGCGAGATGTACAGCCAGCCGTTGTCAAGGCGCTGGATCCTGTAGTGTCTGATCCGGTCCCAGGATGCAGGGCGGCTGAGGCGGACTGACAAGGAGTAACAGCCTGAGGAGGAAAGGGTCCAAGGTGGGACTGAGGCCCTGCTGGAACTGGGCCTTGCCCAAGTTGGGAGGCGGAAGAGAGGTGGCCACAGGGGATAGCCATAGGCCCCGACAAGGGAAGTGGGTGGGGAAGACAAAGCCTTGCTCTCTTGGTCACAGTGACACTATGTAGTAGATGGGGCTCTTGTGAAATGAGATCGTGGACACAGAGCCCTCAGCACAGAGCCTGGCACAATGCAAATGAACATTAAGTGTTGGCTGTTACAAAGACTCAAGTGGGCGGAAGAGTTAGAATGTGAAAATATATCAGATGTCAGCAAGGACATGGAGAGAAAGGTTCTGGCCCGGTAGCTCAGTTGTTTAGAGCCTTGTCCCGATGACACCACGGTTGCGGGTTCCATTCCTGATCAGGGAACATAAAAGAATCAACCAGGCGCTGTACCAGCACCTTTTCCTTTCCCTTCCCCTTCCCCCTCCCCTCCCTTCCCCTCCCCTCCTCTCAGATCTGTTTCTTCATCTGTAAAGAGTAATAATAACTGTCCCAGTCAGACCACCACAAGGACTCAGGTGGTGAAGCGGGTAAAGCATTTAGCAGTGCCTGACATGTAGCAAGCACCTAATAACCCTGAACAGGCCCCTGGTCCTTTGCCCACACTGCTCCTTCTGTATGTCACACTTCCACCTGAGTAACCCCATGCTTCCCTTTCCAACTCAGTTCTGCTCAGACAGCTCCTCCAGAACACCTTCTCCGCCTGGGAGAAGCCCCAGCCCTAGGCTTGCCCAGGCACAAGTGCTATGTGGCACCAAGGGCCCTGCTCTGCCATCACCTGTCCCTCAACCCTATCCCTCTCCTGCCCCAACACTCATAACCCACTGTGAGCCTCCTGAGGGATGGCTCTGGTTTATCCCCCCACCATCTTCCCATCTCAGGAAACAGCAGCACTATTCATCCTTTACTAAGCTACTAACCCTGGTGTCATCCCTGACTGCCAATCTCTCAAACCTCCATCCAACCTGACAGAAAACCCTAATGGCTACACTCGGAACACATCCAGAATCTGACCACTTCTCACCCAGATGAACCTGCAGTGACTTCCCACGTGGCTTTCCATTTCTACTTTACCCCCTGCCTAATCCTCTCTTCGCAGCAGTTGAGGGATCAGGTCATGTCACCCCCCTACTCAGAACCACCCCTGTAACACTTAAATCCAAAGTCCTGCCCTGATGGGCGCAGCTTAGCAGTTCAGCTTCGACCTAGGATCCAGGAGATAGAGGTTCATCCCTGGTCGGGGCACATGCCCGGGTTGTGGGCTCGATCAATGACTCTCTCATCATTGATGTTTCAACTCTCTCTCCCTCTCCCTTCCTCTCTCTGAAATCAATAAAGATACATTTTTAAAAACAACAACAAAAAACCCCACAAAGTCCTCACCCTGGAAAGGTTCCAGAAGGCTTAGCCGATGTCACATCCTGGCCTGCAGGGACCTCTGCAGTCAGGCACCTTGTTCTCAGAGGAGTTCTGATGACAATGCCAGGAGGAGGGGTGGGTCCACAGTGGTGTGACAAGATGCATGGTATAGCCCGGCCGGGCGTGGCTCAGCAGTTGAGCATCGACCTAGGATCCAGGAGATCAAGGTTCGATTTCCGGTCAGGGCACTTGCCCTGGTTGTGGGCTTGATCCCCAGTTGGGGATGTGCAGGAGGCAGTCGATCAATGACTCTCTCATCATTGATGTTTCTCTCTCTCCCTCTCCCTTCCTCTCTCTGAAATCAGTAAAGATATATATATTTTTAAAAAAAGATGCATGGTGTAAGCATAAAATACATAGTCTTTTATTACTTAAATCTGGGTCCCCTGGGTTGTACCTGTTTTTTCAAACTTAAAAGAACATAAGAACCATTAGGGGGGCAAGGGGGTTGTGAAGGAAGCAGATTTCTGACCTCGGTGCCCAATAGTCTGATTCAGTAGGTCTGAGGTGGGGCTCAAGAGTCTGCACTGTCAAGAAGTTCCCCTGACAGTTCATTCCTGTACACTCAAGTCTGAGGAGCTCTGCTCTAGGATGTCACCTGAGCCCCTAGAGCTGTGGTGTCAAACTTTTTTTGACCACAAACCACAATATGAAATTTTACACTATGATCCGGGACACAAACAAAAGTTTGATGAAGCAATATTTTCCCCAACTCCAGTGATGCACTCTGATGTTTTCTGCTGTATTTCATTTCACTCACTGGTCCAGATCCACTAAATCAGTGAGTTACAGGGCCCTCCCTGGTTTTCAAGCCTGGCTGCTTGTCAGAATCACCTGGGGGCTAAACAATAAATCAAAAAGACATGTATCTGTGGTGGGCAGTTAGACAGACATGAGCAGGGCAAGGACAATGGGCCAGGTACAGCAGGTCACCAGGATGGAAAGTCTCAGGTGCCTAGCAAAGGACAACTGTAGGGTGGGACCTTGCCCCTTCGGTGGCTTTTCCTCTCCTAGCATATTGCTGGTCCTGCAGTTTGGACCCCCGACCTTTCCTCCAAGGAGATAACATTTAGACCTTGGTTATATTTCAGCTCCTGGCCCAGAAGAGCAACAAAACCACCCAGGGCTAACCTCAGGACCAGCTTTGGATAGTGACCCCCCCTGCACTGGCACTGACCAATCAACAGGCAGTGGAGATCTAGACCGTGAAAGGACACACCTGGAAAACTGCTGAATATTCTGTTAAGAGCTTCCCCTGGCACCTCCCCAAAGATCTCCTTAAAACCATTAGGATGGAGGACCCCCGAGCACCCTCCCTCCTGGGAGAGTGCCCCAGCCTTTCCCTTCCATCCCCCTTAGGCACATTAGCATTAGCTCCCTTGCTCCCAAGCTCCAAGGGTCCTTCCTTTCCTCTATAACTTGTTTCCTAAGCCCAGGGGATTCTGATGCACACCCAATTTGAGACCCTCTGGTCAATAACTGAGCTGATTTCTTGGCCCAGAAATGACTCATGCCTCCAGCTTGACAAACTGTCCAAAAGAAAGCCCAGGAGAGGGATCGCAGTCCCAGGGAACCTCTGCCTGCCCTGCAGAACCAGCAAGCCTCTTCCTTTTCTGGCACCGAGAACAGCATCCTGATCTATCCCCCGTGCTGGCTCTGGGGAAGCTCAGAGTCCAATCTAACCTTAGCCCCAGTAACAATGTGGTTTTTTCTTTGTTTTCTTATTCCTTACCCGAGGATATTTTTCCATTGCTTTTCAGAGGGAGTGGATGGGGGAGAGAAAGAGAGAAAGATCAATGTGACAGAGACACATCGATTGGTTGCCCCCCCCATGAGCCCCGACCTAGGCAGGGGATTGAGCCTGCAACCAAGGTACGTGCCCTTGGCTGGACCTGAACACAGGACCCTTCCATCTGTGGGCCGATGCCCCAACCAGTGAGCCAGACTGGCCAGGGCTACCCCAGTTGTTCTGGCCACCATGGCCAGAAGAATATACCTAAGGAACTAACGGTAAAGGTAGAGCAAGATCCCTACTGTGCAAGCCCGACAAGCCAGCCCAATAATTACCGCCCCCCTGAGTTCCCATAGAAAGAACAAACCAGTCCCGCTCTGGCCAAGCATAGCCCCATTACTCATTGTAAGACATTGTGTTTAAATCGTTCCTTTTGTGTTGCTAAAGGCCCCCCCTTGTTTCCTGTACCAAAAGCTGACAGCCTGACAAATTATTGGAAACCCCTTTACTGCAGTGCCTTTGTGGTTACCGAGCATAAAGTGAGAGAACTGAGGGTCGGCGCTGCCGTTCGGCTCTCACATGGGTGAGACGCCGCAACTGTAGCCGCTGGCAGCTAATAAAGGCTCCAAAACTCAAACACAAACTCTGGTGGTCGTCTGTCGCGGGTCACCCCAGAACACAGTAACAGTGTGGACCCTCATCTGCTTTCTCCTGTATTTCTCAGCTATTTTGCCTTGTGTTATAGCATAGTAAAAGCTAGGAAAATTCCAGGACTAGCGGAACAGGGAAACTGAGACAAATAGTTAGCAGTCTGCAGCCACCTAGTAAATCCTGCCTTCCCTAAACCAAGGACACTTAAGGGTAAATGGTTTACATTTCTCCTCCCCAGCCAGAGGGTAGATAGCTTAAATCACCCTACTCAGGGAGAAAGATAACAGAAATCCAATCAGTGCCATTTGCCAAACCCACCCAAGGACAGACAAATTCAGAAAATAAATCTCATTTTGGTATATGAGGATAAAGCTGATGAACATTCCATTGCGATCCACCCCTAAGACCCCCCCTAAACTCCCAGCCTTTAAAACCCTGAAAATGAAGGTCCCAGCTCTCTCCTGCCCCTGCAAGGGGATCATGCCGTCACCGTCTCCTTCCCCCTTCTCCCCTCCAAGGGGACCCCACTAGACTTGCAACCAGGGGAGCAATGGGCAGAGGCAGCTCAGTCCCCGGGCACCCTCCCTCCGGGGAGCACACTGTTGCCATTCCATTCGTCGCCACGTGTTCCCTAACCTGTAAAGGACGCTGTGAGGCTTGCGACCAGGAAACAATGGGAGCAGCCGTCCTGGGCTAGCCCCCGACCCTGTCTCCAAGGCAGTCCTCCCTTTCTCCTGGCTTCCCAGTGAGACAAAGCAGCCCAGCCCAGGCTGTCCTGTTGCTTCTTCTACACCCTGCTTATTTCATTGTCCTAAGTATATTTTTGCTGCTGCCAATAAATCCTTGTTTGTTTGTTTGATATATCTTTATTGATTTTAGAGAGAGGAAGGGAGAGGGAGAGAGAGAATTGAAATATCAATGAGAGAGTCATTGATCGGCTGCCTCCTGCACGCCCCTGACTGGGGATCGAGCCTGAAACCCGGGCATGTGCCTTGGCAGGGGATCGAACCGCGACTCCCTGGATCCTAGGTTGATGCTCAACTGCTGAGCCACGCCAGCCGGGCAAATCCTTGCTTTCTTTTCTATACTTTGTCTCTTGATTGAAATCTTTCCCTCAAGACAAGAACCAAGGTTTCCCTGGTAGCATTTGTATATGTGCCTACTTAGGAAAGGGGCAGAGTGGCAGTAAGGGCTGGTTAGTATGCTCTTGGGTTTGAACCAGGCCAGAGAAAGGTGGGGGTGGGGAGCTGAGTGCAAAGCACTTCCTGTGGCTTTCAGTGCTCACCGGGCCCAGTCTAGGAGGCCCTGACCCAAGTCAGCAACACCACTGTGGTTTCCTGTTTGCAGCTGCTGCCCTCGGACCCAGCCCTCACTCCAGATAGCCTCTGGGTGTGTGTAAGGGTGGGTTGCTCAGGCTGCCTAGAAAATAGCAGGAGGGCTTGGGGAGGGGTCGACCCAGGGAGCTCCCCAAGGAAAGGGAGGAGAGGGGAGGACTTGTTGGAGGGCCTCCTGGAGGGAGGTTGAGTAGAGAGCAAAGAGCCCTGACAGCCCATCACAGTTGGTTTAAATTAGGGCCAGGACAGGAGGCTGGTCCTCACTTCTGAGTATCTCCTCCCTAGCCCTCCACTGTGCTTGCAGTTCCACCATATTGTCACTGTGGGCCTTTCCTGGGTGTCTAAAGTAAGATGAACCCTGGCTGGGTTTGAATCCCAGCTCTGCACTTCTTAGCTGTGTCTCCCCAGGCAAATCGTTTCTCTTCTCTAAGCCTCAGTTTCCTCATCTGTAAAATGGGGACAAAGGAAGAACAACCCCCACAGGGTTGCTTGAGGGCACTGAAAGGGCCTGACACAAACGTGGGTGCTGCTACTCCTTCAATGTCTGTCCCTCTGCCTCTGCTGTAAGGGACTCAGGCGGCAGCTCAGAGGGAGGCAGGGGCATCAGAGACAGACCCCATCGACCTCGTGTTTTGTTTGCAAAGCCCTGTACCTGAGGTGGGAGAAGCCTCAGATGAACGTGCAGGGTGACATGTCCCTACGCCTCTTTAGGCCTCTTTCCACATCTGAACGGCAGAGAGGGGAAGATCCTGAGATGGCTTCTAACGGGTTTTCTGGCTCTGACTGGATGGTGACCCACAGCACAGAGACCCTGTCAGCTCATCAATTTTTTGCCAAGAGACAGGATCATGTTGTGTCTTGGTAAGGGAAGGAAATCCTGTTGGATAACTACTGTGGGCCATTCATGCTCTGTTAGAAATGCAGGTTATTGCTCAATTGCTGCTGGGTTCTCGTGGTAGCAACATGGNTTCATGCTCTGTTAGAAATGCAGGTTATTGCTCAATTGCTGCTGGGTTCTCATGGTAGCAACATGGCAGCCAGTNATGCAGGTTATTGCTCAATTGCTGCTGGGTTCTCGTGGTAGCAACATGGCAGCCAGACTGCCTGACTCCCTTTGCACTTGACCTCTGCCCTCTGCCCCCACATCACGTCACACTTGGTTTTTGGTATTCAAGAGATAAACCCCAGTAGGGGCTCAGCTTACCCACCTCTCCTGGTCTGGCTCTCCCGAATGAGGAAGGCCCCTCCAGGGTTTCCAGGCAGCAACAGCAGTTCCTCAGCTTTCTCCCGGCTCAAGCCCTCGTAGAGCCACCTGGAGAAGCAGCAGAGCCAGGGGTCAGCCCGGGGAGTGGGTGGGCCCCCAGCTTTGTCCCCCTGATCCTGGCCCCAGGGGCCTCAGAGGACAGCCTCACAGTGCCAGCCCAGTCTTTCCTGCCGCGGAGCTGGGGGCAGGCTGGGAGATCCTGGCCTTTCTTCTACCACTCCCCAGTGTCCTGCCACCACTGTGGTACCCACCTTTCCAAGAATTGCCCGTTTTGTGTGAGTGTGTGTGTTTAAATTTCAGTAAATATTTTATTTGGATATTTTAAAGTTTAACTTCATAGCTAAATGTATGCAGGTGAACCTTTATTCGTTATCACTGAAATGTAACTTGCAGTAAAGCTGATTTGTGGACAGAAACGCTGGAACTTGAATGTTCAAAACGTCTAAAATTTTGGAAAATACCGGGCAGCCCACTTGTCACCATAGGTGGCTCCCAAGTGCAGCCCTCCACCACCTGCTCCCAGGGCTTCTTTCCATGCCGAGGTTTTGATTACTCTGACCCCATATTGTCCTTCCTCTCTTCACTTAATCCCTCACCTATTATCTACATGGACTTAACTGTAAAGAGAAGGTAGGGTAGTTCTGCAGGAATGTTTTGGTCCTAGGCCATCAGCCTCCTAAGTCCCAGGGGCATGCCCTGTGACCCCAGGCAAAGCCTACAGAAGCTGATTTGATGGAAATGGCTGCCTCCGTGTCATTTCATGAACTTCCACGGTCAAAGCCAGAGTCAGGGTTGAGTTGATGCCAAGTACATAAATTAGAGAAGCTGTGCCTCACTTGGTGCCAGTAGCAAACAGCCTCATTTTATAGTAAATAAAACAAGTAAAAAATTGTGATGTCTTATAAAAACTGAGGATGTAAATAAAGGAGTGGCAAGGGAAGGGGGTATCTTGGAGATGGTCAGTGTTCCTTGGCTTAAACTCAGTGCCACACTGTGGATGTAAAACCTCCACCCAGTACACCCAGGCCACCAGGAAACACGTGGCAAGGTGGGCTTCATCCGGCTTGCAGACAACCTCCGTGAGAGCTGACCCTGCGAGGTGTCCACACATCGCAGGATCCCTGCGTTACTCTCACCAGAATGAGACACCCCGTGAGCCGCAGAACAGGAAGGCCACCCAGTGCTGCAGCTGTGCTTCTCTCAGACCTGGAGGGAGGTCACAGCAATGCATGTGTACAGCGACACGTTCCCAATCCTGCATTGTTCAGAGAGATCCCACCAAAAGGCACTTCACTTCCTCTCTCTCCTGGCATAGAATTTGCTCTGGGGTCAGTTCCTTTTGTCACTCACTTTTGGAGAGAGATGGCTGTGCTTTGTAGGAGACCCTGTGTCCCGTGTCTGGCCCTCCCTCACAGGTGCCTCTCAGAAGGGCAGGCCCATGACATGGGGCACCACCCCTTTGTTTTCTTGCCTCTGGATGTTTATTCAGGCTGATTCCATCTCCTGCAAGTCCCTTTCAGCATTCTCTACCAACACATTCCCCTCAACCCACCTCCTCTAGGCTCCCAAGCCCAGCGGGCCAATCTTAGAGAGTTAGCTATCTGCTCCTGAGGGCAGAGCCTGGGCCTGATTCTCCCGTCCCCAGGTTTTCTCAGCACAGGACTAGGCATAAAGGACTACGCTTGTGGGAAGAGAAAGCAGGCAAGTCCCCTAAGGCAGGGCCTGGAGTGGAAACTCACCCATGGGAGATTTTGGCCACATGGACGCTAGGGATGCTGTACTCTCTGCCTGAGCCCTCCGACAGCACCGTCCACCAGTCTCCGTCCCTGCAGAGAAAGGAGGGAGACCCCTCTCAGAAGGACCAAGGCCCCAAGAACTGCTCATTTGGGACTTACAAGGGCCCTCCAGGCTGGATCCCACCTGAGTTTCCCAGGTTTCCTTGCACCAGCCAATCCAGGTACCTCCTGGGCAGTAGATGGCATGATTCAGGGTCCCCTGTATGGCCTGCCTACCCACTGCTTCTCCCTGTAGCTGTGTCATGCTTTCCAAAATCCCACCATTAGGGACATGCGGGAGCCTGACACCAAAGGCCATGCTCTTTTCTCCTGGAGGGAGTGGCCCTTTTTCACATCAGTGTATTGGCAGGTGTCAGGGGGAGGGAGCAGATCATCCCACGCAGGCCCTTGGAATGACTTACTCAGAGATGATGGTCAGTGGCTCCCCCAGTCTCAGTGACAGCTCTGCCTGATCGCCTACCGGAAAGCTGCCCAGGGCCACGGCTGTGGCTTTGCTCCTCTCTGCATGGAGGGACAGAGGTGGTCACCCTCTTGGCCAGCTGTCTCCAGATGTAAGGTCTAGTGGAGTCTGGGATCCCACCATCAACCTCCCCACAGGCACCCTGGGCTGGTTCCTATATGTCCCCTCAGCACACGTGGAGATCCCTGTGGTGACCCCAGACAGGAGCCCCCCAGAGCCCGGGTTTCTCTCTCTGACCTATCGGCAGCACAGGACGTGACCGTTCCACGGTACAGGGAAATTCCTGATGCCTGAACAAACAGTGCAAGGAAGTCTTGTGGAGGGCATCCTGCAATAAGGGTGGAACCAGGTGGCCGGGAAGGGCCCTTCCCCTCCTGGAAGCCTTGGCCATGCACCCCTAGGAACTGCTAAGCTGTATGTTGTCCCCTTGATTGTCCCCCTCCACCTGGCTGACACATCTTCATCTTTTGCTCCCCAGATGAAATGTCCCTTCCTTAGGGAAGCCTTCCCTGACAAACCCCTTAGCAGACAGACACTCTTGGTCAGAGTCCCTTAAATCATGTTGTTGCCCAAGTCTAACAAAACTGTAATTGATTATTGATTAAGCACCTGTCTTTGGGACTGTTCCTTAAGGCAGAGACTGTGCCTGTCTTGTCCACTGCTGGGAACCCTGGTCGTACGTGCACAAGGCCTGGCACAAAAGCCTTAGTGTTTGGATGGATGCAAGGCTGATGGACAGAGATGACTCATGGAAGGGACTGCCCAAAATCCATGCTTCTGCTGGGACCAGAGATAGACCTACAGAGAGGCCCATCCTTTACCTGCAGACCCTGGCAGAGAAGGGAACACAGTGCACCTCAGGTCCTGAAGGCAGGACACCTGCATGGGGGTGGGGGAAGGTTCACCATTCTACCCTCAGCAGCCTTGGGCATGACTCAGAGCAGCCTTGGGGCTGCTGCCGCGGCTAGATTCAGAGGAAATGAGGTGGAGGTCTGTGTGGTTTCCAGGTCCTTCCTGAGAGGCCTGCTGGGCCCCAGGCACTCTATGGAGACTGAGTGGCTACAGGGCCTAGGGCTTTAGGACTCAATGGCTGTAGGGCCTGAGGAGGCTGGTATTAGGGAGATGAGGATATTGGAGGCAGGGGCTGAGAAGGAAGCCCCAGCCACTGTAGGGGAGTTTTCAGATTCAGGCAGCTCCTGTCCAAACACTAATACGCAGACATTTGCTCTAGTCTCCTGGTTCTGTTTAAGTATGTTTCCATGTCCTTCCTCCTAAAAGTGCCACTTGGTTTAGAGTAATCTTGTTATCTGTGATGGTTACATTTATGTCTCAGTGTGGCTAGCCCACAGGCCCCAGATATTTGGTCAATCAGCAGTCTAGATGTTGCTGTGAAGGTATTTTTGAGATGAGATTAACATTTAAATTGGTAGACTCTGAATAAAACCCATAATGGGTGTGTGTCCCTTCCAGTTAGTTGAAGATATTAAGAGAAACAGACTGAGGTCCTCTGAGGAAGAGGGAATCCTGCCTCCAGACCCAACTCTGGAATTCTGCAGCATCAACTCTTCCCTGGGTCACCAGCCTCCAGGCCTGCCCTGCAGATTTGAGACTTGCCAGCCCCCACAATTGAATGAGCCAGTTTCTTAAAATAAATTCTCTCTGTGTACACACACACACACACACACACACACACACACACACACACACACTATTGGTTCTGTGGTTCTGTTTCTCTGCAGAACTCTGATGAATACATTATCGAAACCCCAAATCAGGATGTGTTTTGAGAAAGGATTTGTGGGCTATTTTGGGGAACAAGAAACAAAGCTTTGACATCAAAAAATTAGAATTTATTTTAATCGTCCTAAAAAGTAGCATTTTTAGTCATAAACTACCTTAGAAAATACCAGCTATAGGTTCAGCATATGCATTGTATGTGCTAATTTTTTCCAGTTGTCATAGCTCTAATTTATTTCAAGTATTTCATAGCACCACTCAGGATAAGAGGAGAGATTTTGGAGAATCATTGACTAGTAGAATTTTATAGATGGAAATGATGATGGAAATGTTCCATAATTTTGCTGTCCAATTAAGGTAGCCAGTAGCTACATATGGCTTTAAAAAAAACCCACATGTCTTTATTGATTTCAGAGAGAGGAAGAGAGAGAGAGAAACATCAATGATGAGAGAGTCATTGATCAGCTGCCTCCTGCACGCCTCCTGCTGGGGATTGAGCCAGCAAGGTGGGCACATGCCCTGACTGGAAATCGAACTTCGATCTCCTGGATCCTAGGTCAGTGCTCAACTGCTGAGCCACGTGGCCAGGCACATATTGCTTTGAGCATTTGAAATGCTAGTGTGACTGAGGAGCTGAATATTCAATTTTATTTCATTTAAATTAATTTAAATTTAAATTGTAAGGTATGGAGAGCTACAGAAGTGGGATTGGTCTTAGAGTTGCCAGTTCAGTCCCCAAATAAATTGGCTGAGGAGGAAAGAAGCCTAGGGAGATGCCTAAGGGACTACCACACCCGCCTGGATTTTCTACTTTACCTGGTTGTTTAATGTTGACTGCTAACATGTAAGCTCTACAATAGCAGGACCCTGCCTGCATGGCTCACTGGGGAGGGCCTGGTATACAGCAGGAACTCATTGACGCTTGAGGCTGTTTTGGAGTGGCTGGTCAGGAAGGCCCTGTGCAGCTTCATGGTGCAGCCTCATGGGGCCTGTAGCTTACCTGGTTGCATGGATACAGGGCCCTGGTCTTGGACAGAAGGACTTGAGCTTGGGCTTGGCAGGATTTTCCCTCTGCTGGGCTGACTTCCCATAGCTCCTCAGCGGAACTCTCAGAAGCACATGGAGAGAAATCTAAAAGAGATGCTGTGATGGAGACAGAGCGGTGGCTCCAGGCCTGGTGCCAACACCCTCCCGCCCTGGCTCTGCCCTGCTAACCTCCTGGCTGATGCATGCAAACGATCCCCCTCCCGTCAGGACCAGGGGCCAGCGCTTCCCCCAGCCCCTGAAGGGTCTCTGCAAAGCGGGCCCTGTTTTCTCCCTCTGTGCTGCAGCCACACTGTTCCTGGGCCTTTGTGGGTGTGGTGCACCTCCCCACTGGCAGGAATATCCTTCCCCCCTTCAGGGCTGTCTTGATCCCACCCTTTGCCAGGAAGCTTTTCCTGAATCTCCCAGGCCCTGCTGATCATTCAGATGGCCTAATCAGAACCATCTCCTGACGTGGGGTCATATTCTGTGTGACAGGGGACAGTGACAGGACAGAGTTCACTACAGGCCTAGCAGAACCCAATGCTAGGGTTAGAAGTGGACAAGGCGGGTCTGGTGTCAAAATAAGCTAAGGTGACACTGAGCAAACTTATTGGTGTCACAGGGCAAAGATGACTAGGAGGTTGTGTGACACAGTGATGACTTGCAAGGCTTTGGAAGATTGGCTGTGGAGCCATTTCCTCTCTCTTTGCCTCCATTTCCTCATCTGAAAAATGGGGATAACAATACAGGTCTTAGAGGTAACACGTGAAAAGCCTGGCCAGGGCTGGTTTTCGCCTACCATGACTTGAATGTCACTTCAGAGGCTGCTCCTGGGAGCCTTCCCTTTTTCTCTTGGCTCCCTGTTGTGTTCCTTCCCATTTTAATTATTCATTTATTAAAGCTTTACTTATTCAATACGCCATTATTCTACAGGTTAAGGAAGACAGGACCTCTCCTAGTTTGCCAACTTTCTCAGCATTTTGTAAGGACTTTGGCCTATAGAAGGCGCTCAATACACATGAACTGAGTGGATGAATGTGATTATCAGCTCTTTGGACAGGTGTCTTTTTAAAAAATATTGATTTGAGGGGGCGAGGAGGGAGAGAAGGAGAGAGGGAGAGAGAGGGAGAGGAGGGAGAAACATCTTCTTGTTGTTCCACCCATTTATGCATTCACTGGTTGCTTCTTGTATGTGCCAACTTGGATGGAACCCGCAACCTTGGTGTATCAGGACTCTCTAACCAACTGAGCTGCCCAGCCAGGGTTGGACAGTTGTCTTAGCCTTAAAATAATTTAAATTCCCAGGTTTCCAGGGTAATGCTGAGTTTTCCAAACACTATTTCAAAGTGTTTTGTGGAGGTGGTTTCCATTCTTTTCAGTAGAGACAGGCTCCGTCCTTGCCTTTGAGCCTAGCACAGCGCCAGGATGAGGACAGGTGTCTGTCATTATCATGGATTGACTTCCATGGCCTCACAGGCTAGTCCAGTCTGAGTAAAAACCCTGCCTTCGAGCAGGGAACGACTGTCTGTGTATGTGTAAGGGGATACCCTCAGTGCTGCAGTCTTGTGCCATTGACAGGGGCTAATAGTACCTGTTTCTCTGCCCCCCCCCCCATTCAGTATTCATGGGACAGGAACTCTTGTTTACAAAACAGGCCCAGTTAGGAAGTGGCTCCTGCTGACTTGGGGATCCTGAAGCCTTGGCAACTGGAGATGGTGCTGCTGCCTCCTCAGGTGTCTGATTCCCTCATTGCTAAGGTCAGGTTTTCAGCATTCTTGCTGCTCCCCAGGTTTCCTCGTTGAGTATGAGGTACAGGCTCTATGCTTTACTGTGCAGATAACCCCAGGGGAGATCTTTCCTCGGTAGCACAAGTGATTAATTCAGGCCAACCAGGCTGAACCTGCGTGACCTCAGGAAGAACATGCAACCTTTCCCAGCCTCATCTGTGAATCAGAGAGAACACGGAGTCCACAGGGTACGGGGGAAGTCGAAGAGCCTGGCACAGAATGGGTGCTCAGTAAAGGTTAGTTTCCTTTTCCCTCCTTCAGCAAGACAGTCACCACAATCCACAACTGCGCTAAACCCAGAAACTTCTAGCAGGTGGGGCTGGGGGCTGGGCCTGAAGGAGGTAGAAGTGCACTGACTGGAAGCCCCCAGCACCCTCTGCTAGCTCCCTTCACCTGGTGGAGTCAGGAGGCCTCCTGGAGGGCAAAAAGAAGACCATGGGGTGGACAGGCCTAGGAGGAGGTGTTGGCCAAAACTTTTAAGAGAGATCCTATAATCATTAATTATATAAGCATTTGAACAACTTACTATGCGTTAGGCACTTTCTAGAGGACCTGGGCCAGGAAGGAGTTAGGAAAAAGCAGCTTCGATCAGCACAATGCCCACAATTGCCTTTGATCATCTTATTGACCCTTTGGGAGGTCTGCATCTAATCCCATTCAGATACAGGAACAGGGCCCAGAGAGTCCGGGCCTCGTGCTCGGTTAGCGCAGAGCTGGTGCTACAATCCTGTCTTTATGTTTTTGTGCTAATTGATAATTTCTCAGTGGTGGAGTAAGAGTGATGAATTTGGATTGAGCTCCCTCTCTTTCAGCTGAGAAATATCACCCTTTTGAGAGGAACTGACGATACTAGAGTGGAAGGTATCTTCAGATATTATAATCCAGACTCCTCTTGTTCACTGAAGTTGGACGGCTGGGGCCCAGAGAGGGCCCCTAAGTCACACAGCATGTTAGTAACCGAGATGGGACCAGATCAGGTGTGCAGACACAGCGGGAGGGAGCAGTGTAGCTCTCCAGAGGACAAAGGTGGAGGAGGGAGACCTGGGTCCCTTCAGGCGCCCTTAGAAATCACCTCTCACAGCCTCAGCAGAAACACTCCTCCTTGAGCTTTCCTCCCAACTATAAAGCCCACTCCCAGTCTCTGAGAGGATCGTCCTTCCTCACAGTCCCAAGGCCATCGGAAAACAAAACCAAGCATACTTACTGGTTTCCTGTCATCAGTCTTGGGGTGGGGGCTCAGCTAAGACGCATGCTTTGGCTGGAGAGGTCAGGGCTTTGGGGGGCCCTTCTGGAAGTCTGCCAACATCCTTAGTTTCAGGACATCCAGGGCCTTCTTGGTCTGGGAGAGTCTTCAGGGAGAGGCCCTCAGAATTGCTTTGGGTAGCTTCGTATCTGCCTTTGGTCAGCAGTTTGTACACCTGGGGTGGAACAGGAGCCCCGACTGGGTGAACCTCCCAAGCACAGATGGGCCAGGGAAGAAGGCTCAGAGCTCAAAGAGCTGTTATGGGGTCCTTGGGGCTCCCGGCTCACATCTGCAGACTCTGTGGTTCTCACAACCACCCATTTCCTCTGACGGCATCACAGATCAAGGAGCCACCTTCCCCGAGTTCCTGTTACTGGGGCAGAAGCAGCTGCCTTGTCATGATCCTAGGTTTTCTTCTGGCTTTACCGTGTGGTCTTGACTAAGGAACACAGAACCGAGGTAAATGAGCAGGAATTTCCAGGCTTACCTGATCATAATATCACCTGAGGGGCTTGTTAGTATCAGAATCCTGGGATCCTCCCACATCTGAATCCAAGTCACCAGAGGAGCAGCCTAAGAATCTGATTTTAAACGTTAAGCAATTCCTTTGACTGGCAAGTCTGGGAAGCACTGCCGTGGGGTGATGTGTCCCAGCCTTTCATGTGTATAGGGATCACCCAGGGACCTTGTTAAACAGCAGTTTCAGGTGAAGTGGGTCTGGGAGGGTGGGGCTCAGATTCTGTGTTGCTAATGAATCCCAGGTGATACCCATGCTGCTGGTCTGGGGACACTGAGTAGCAAGACCTTTGGGCAGTGGTTCTCCAAGTGTGGTCCCCAGACCAGCAGCTCAGCATCATCCAGGAATTTGTTAGACATGAACATTCTCAGGCCCCATCTCAGATCTACTGAATCAGAAACTCCATGGTGGGGACAACAATCTTTCCCAAGCCCTCCAGGTGACTCTGATGCACACCCCTAGCCTGGCAATCACTCAGCCAGGATAAGGAATGTGATAGCCCTGGCTGGTGTGGCTCAGTGGTTAGAGTGTCGGCCCACACACCAATAGCAGGTTCCATTACCAAAGGCCCATACCTTGGTCCTGGGTTTGCTCCTTGGGGACATGTGGGAGGCAACCAGGTGATGTGTGTCTCTTTCCCTCTCTCTCCCTTCATTCTCTCTGAAAAAGCAATGGAAAAAAATATCCTCAGGTGAGGGTTAACAAAGAATCTGATATAACTGCCTTGACTATCGTTAACTTCAGTCACTGAAACTTTAAATAACCACACCCTCCTGCTGCCTTTCCATTAGGGGGCTTAGTATTCCTGGAGACAGATTTTTTTTTTTTTTTTAAACACCAAATGACCTACTGCTCTGAAATAGCTCAGACAATGCAGCTTCTGGGGGCCCTGGCCAGCTTGGGGCACACTCCAGCTCAGGTCTCCCTTTCTGCTGGGAAGGCTGGTCTGAGATGAACTCCATGGGCACATAGCATAGAGAGCTGAAGGATCTAAAGTGGAGGTTCATCCTCTATAAAATTCTAACCAGGATGTTTGAATGGTGACAGTCACTCAAGGATGTGGCCTCTGGCAGCGAGGGAACTGAGCACAGGCCCACCCTCCTGCTTTTGCCTGCATACCACTCTGATGTTTATCTGACAAGTTTTTCAGACTAGCCTCAAGGTGAGAGGTCCCTGAACAAACGAGGTAAGAAATACGGAATATCTGGTCTCAAAAAATCCCTCATACTCTCCTTTTCCACTCAACGAGGTACCTAAGAAAGAACTCAAAGCCTAGACCTGATGCTTATATGGGAAAGTGCTAAAGGCCCAGCCTGTAGTAGGTGTTTAAGAAAAGGCTGAATAAAATATGAAAGTACATTGATTTTGGAAGAACTAGGAATGTTCCTAGCTAGGTGACCTTGGCCAAATCACTTAACTCTCCTCAACTGCTCCTTGTCTGTAAAACAGGGCCCACTTGCAGAGTTGCCTTGAGAACTGGGTAAGCTGATTTATATGGAAGAGATTTTATAAAATCACCATGTGCAGTATACCTGGCCACTTTCCTCACCTCTCACAAAGCAGGCACTCAATACTTTTTTGGACTGTACAGAAGGAAATGAAAACGAGAAATGAGTACAGTTAGGCCAGTAAGGTGCAGTCAGTTGGGGCCTGACTCCAGGCACAAGGCTAAGGTGGGAAGCAGGCAACCATCCGTGCTGAGGTGGCCGAAGAGGCCGTAGCAGTGTGGATTGTAAGAGGAACTGTCCCATCAGACCATCTCCAGCTCTGGAACTCAGCTTGGTGACCTGTATCTGTCCACGTGCACGTGTTTCATCTCCTCCACCAGACTTAGCAGGGTCTGAGTCATTTCAAGTTTCTCCCACAGACACAACCATCTTGAAGTACTATGGCAGTAGTAGCTCCTGGATCATTCAAAACCGACCTGAGGTGGTAGCCTCCTGAAATTATTCTTGATGGGTACAAAGAAGTATTTCTGGAGAAATACAGCCTGGTCTGTTTGAAGAACCGACAAGTGGTTGCAGATAATTACTGAGGGGTGGGACTCAGCAACCCCACATTGATGGCAGAGCTGAGATATGGAACCTTTTTCCAAGACCTCAGCTTCTCCTTCATCTCACACCACACGGTTGGACTTCTCACGATTTTTGGTTTGAAGGGAGTAGAGGATGTGTGAAATGGACTTGGGGTTCATTCAATCCCAGCTGCACTTCTGGTATGACCTTGGGCAAATTATTTATGCTAAGACTTTATTTCTTCGCTGGGTGGGACAATGATCGAGTATGTGAAAATGCCTGGCACAGAGCCCATATACAGTAACTGAGTCCTCCCTGAGCCCCGGTGAGTGGCTTGAGAGAAATAAGACCAGCAATTGAGTAACAATGAGACATATATAGCTTTATTTAATAATCTGTAAAAAGTGGCAGAGTGACGCATTCCCTGTCTTGGCAGAAAGCGAATACTAGGACTAAGAAGTCCCTTCTTAGTATCTGAAACTGTGTCACCCTGTGCTTACATCTCGATGCTCTCAAGAGCTGGGCCCTGGCTGTGTGGTAGATGGTTTCACCTTCCGCCCGGCGGTACTCACATAGTAGTAGACTGAACAGTTTTACCTGGACAGGCTGCCCTTACAGACTGACCCCTTCCCTCCTACAAAAGAGAGTTCACAGGATTAGGAATCTTCCTGAGAAATGAGTTCTATCTCAGTTTCATTTAGCTTTCACTAAGTCTGCTAAAATCAAGGCTATTCTTATTAAATATGATATTCTGTTAGTGTCTGTCCTCTCCCCACTGTCATTTCCTTACCACCTACATAATTTTCAGGCCATACCTCTCCCCTTTCTGAGGATGGAGGGGTAGAGAAACAGTCTCCATCACAGAGCTGGAGGCATTTCTTGCGGATGTCTGGTATTTTGTTTTCCCCCTTCCTGTACTGAGAGGGGCCATAATTAAGCCATGCCCACTCCTTGGGAACAACTCCATGTTGCATGAGAACCTCATCATTCATGGGCTTCTAATAGTACATATCCCTCCCTTTTATTTATAGTGTATGTACATTCATTTCGACAGGAGGAGGTGGCTGGCCACCCTGCCTGCTTCTCTATGTACTAGGTTCCCTTCTATTGGTCACAATCGATCAACAGTCCAATTATGGTCTTCCACATTCCTCAGAGCTGCTCTCTCCAGAAGTCACTTTGCAAATCTTGCTGACCAATTTGGAACCAAAAGAGAATGCTGTGACCTACCCAATCTAGAAATCTGTTCTGCATATTTTACCTAAAAACACCATTGGAAATGCAAAAAAAAAAAAAGTCCCTTTTTTGTTTTTGCAGAAGCTCTACAAGAAAGCATGTCTAAAACCACAGATCTATGCACACATAAACACAGACACGCGTGCTCACACACATACATCAGGATCAAAGAATCTTATCAGATACATAGTTGGGAAAGCATGGGGAAAGCTGGCAAGGGAAGGTAAGATTTGATCAGTTAAAGATGTTGGAATGTTACAGTAATGGCATGAAAGTGGTTCCTGGTACACACAAAAAAAGGGGGTGGGCAGGCAGAGAATGATAAATCCAGGACACCAGGGAGAGAGCCGGTGGTCATGCAGGAGATAAAGATAGATGCCAGGTTGCTGGATGAAACCGCTGTATTACGGAGTGGTCGTTTGAGGAAGATGGACTTGCACGGTCCAGGGGAGGAGCATCTGCTTAGCAGGACACTTCCATGGTGTGGTGTCTGTCCAGAACATCAGGGGACTCAGAGGATTCTTGAGTTCCATCTGACTGATTGCTGATGGCAGATCGGCTGAAGGCACTTTCTCCAGAGCCGATACTACTTGAGGTTGAGTGGGTTCGTGATCGGGCGAGCCGGGTCATGCTGGCAGATGGTACTGTAAAAAAGAACCAAGAGGACTAGAAGATGGAGCCCTGGTTAAACTCGGTAATCCAGAAGTTTCACCAGAGGCTTTATGTTTAGCTTTCCCAATCCATTTAAGGTGACACTCAGGACAAAATACAGCCATCTTGACTTTGCAATATTTGCTCTAGGTGAGCGGCTATCTGCAAGGCTGCTTTAATCCTCTAGATCTGGTTGGAATCTCAGCTAATTCTGTCTACAGCATAACAAGGGGAAACCTAAATCCAGAGTATAGCTCTTAGCTATACCCACGCCATTCATAATGAATAATTAGGAAGGAGGCTTTGGGAACCCACACAGGTAAGCAAAACCTGCAGTGCATGCAAGACTAAACCAAAAAGAAAGACAAACCACACAAGTATGAAGGTGTTTCACAAACACAGTGCAAGCCCGATACAACAAGACTACCATCCATGTCCACAGGCTACCCTTGCTACCTGGGGAGGAGACATACAGGAAGGTGTGGGTGTAGAGAGGGCTGGTGGACCTGGAGCTGACCCCACAGGCTGTGAGGTACAGGCTGCTTGAGAGGGAAGGGCTCTGAGGGTGGGTGTTTAACTCAGACTCCTGTTCTGTCACTGCTTTGATCCTAAGGTCCTTCAATTTGGCCAGAACACAGCCTTACCTCGCATAACCTGTCTATCTTTCTGAAGCACCAGCCTTTCTCCAACTGTTATTTCAATGCTGGAGTTAAAAGATGCCATCACCTGCAGAATTTTCTGGGCATGGGCTCTGACAATCTTATTTAGAATCAAGGTGGCCCTTTGATTCCTGTGTCTGGGGGGGTTAATGCAAGGATCAGTAGGTAATGGTGAAAGAGGGGGCCTGCCTATAAAGTTTCAGTGCTCCTGTAACTCAATTTAGGATGAGGAGAGGAAGCCTGGCTATATAACCCACTCCTTTCTTCCTTCTTGGGGGCCCAGGGCTAGACCTGCAGGCTAACACTCTTGGAGCAAAATGAGCCATGTTCTATCAGGCTCTCACTGCACAGGAAAACTGCGGACATGCTGCAGGCAGCCAATAAAGCCAGGAGAGCGTGGCTGGGAGGCGGGGGCAGGGCCAGCACAGAGGAAGGTACCTGACTCGATGCTCAGGTGACTGAGCTGCACATACGGTACTGGAAGCAGGTGGACACAGGAAAAGGTAGGTTAGTGACCCAAGAGTGCCAAGTGGCAACCTCAGCTGCCTAGCAGACACTGTCAGAATACTTTAAGCCAAGGATTAAGTGTTTTGTTGTTTTTTTAAAAATATTTTTCAAAATTGATTTTAGAGAGAGGAAGGGAGAGAGAAACATCAATGTGAAAGAGAAACAACTGGCTGCCTCTCGCATGCCCCCTACTGGGGAATCAAGCTTGCAACCCAGGCACGTGCCCTGACCCGGAATAGAACTGGCGAACTTTGGTGTGTACAGGATGATGCTCGACCAACTGAGCCACGCTGGCCAGAGTGCCAGGGATGGAGTTTTATTTTTAGAACCCAGAGAGGAGGTGAGGCTGACTGATGCTTCAATAGAATCTGAGACGTTACCTCTCTCAACTAGTCAAAGGTAATAGTTTTCTCTTCCACTATAAACAGCCACCCCTGCTTTAGATTAGAAATGGGCTGGAAGATCAACTGTTTCCTAGTAGAGGGATGAGAGAACCAGCTAGGAAAGGGACTCATGTCCCTCCCAGAGGGACATGGTGTGGGCTTGGTTAGTAGTGGATCACAGACGGGGATCACATAGCCACTGTAGGTAACACACACATGGTCTGCCTGCTAGGTATGGGGCTAGATCCAGGGGCCCAGCTGCTGCCCAGTGGCCATTATCCACACTAATACCAAAGACAGGAGAAAACAACCCTACTGGGTAAACAGCTCTGTACCTGGGTGGAAGAGCTTTTCTTCTTAAAACACCAAGAAAGGAGCAAGTGTGGATATTCTGTGACAAATGAGAAAGCTCAGGGGTCTCACAATACAAGAGACCAGCAGCATGTGATATGGACACATCCTTGGACGTACTCTAACATACTCAAAAGTTCACCTCCAGTTGTGGAGCAGATTGAACTGAGGACACTACTCTTTTTTCCTCTCCAGTCGCCATTTTGTTTCTCTAGGCCAGGAGTCATTAACCACTTGAGTTCAAACCCAAATCATAATTTCAGATTTATAGCAAGGCCAATCTAAGCTTCAGTGGTCCAAAATGGGGGCTCTGAAATCAGACTGCCAGGGTTTGAATCATGGCTCTGCGGCTGAATTGTTACTCTGGGAAATGTGCTTAGCCTCTTTGAGCCTCAATTTCTTCTTCTATAAAATGGGACTAATAGAAGAACTTACCTCTTAAGGCTATAAATACAGAGTGTCTGGCATATAACCTCTAAGTGCTTAATAAGTGTGTTAGCTCATCACACACACATGCTACAGGAATATTTTAGTTTCTACTTGACTTCAGGCTGGCTAGCACAGAGGTTATGCCCTAAGAATTGTGGGCTCCCACAAGATGTCAAAATGACCCCATCATTAATAAGTCTTTGCTAGACAGAAAGTTATATGCTACTCACTGTAGCCCATTCCCTGCAAAAAGTACTTGAAGGCCTCGGTGAGCTTCCCAGGCTAGAGGGACAAAATAAGAAGGTGTTAATCTTTGTACAGGCAATGAGGTACAGAGTCAAATAAGTGCTTTAAAAAAAAATCTTCTTACCTGAACTACTTGGGGCAGTCCACCACAGTCTGCCATCTAGAAGAGAAAAAATGTGTAAGTCAGCTGGAACTTACACTTAAGGGAAATGCTCTGAATATCCACGAGTGCTTTCAAACAGGATAGGACTGAATGTTAAGTTCCCTCTCAACTCTATATTATATTTATTCCATGACTAAGAGGATTCTCGAATCCGGTGCTGACATGGAATTTGGCCAGCTTGCTTGGTCAGCCACTTTCCTGCCATACCTAGATTTGGTGAGGCTGTCTTTCACTTCATAAATCTTTTTAAAAAAATATATATTTTTATTGATTTTTTTAAAGAGAGGTAGAGAGAAAGGGGGAGAGAGAGAGAAACATCGATCAGCTGCCTCCTGCATGCACCCTGACCAGGGGTAGGAGATCAACCCTCAACCTGGGTATGTGCCCTGACTGGGAACTGAACTAGTGACCTTTTGGTGCATGGGACGATGTTCAACCGACTGAACTACACCGGCCAGGGCTCACTTCATAAATCTTTTTTTTTTTAAGAGAGAGATGAAGGGAGAGGGAGAGAGAGAGAAACAATGATGTGAGAGCAGAACATCGATTGACTGCCTCCTGCAAACCAAACCCCCTACTGGGTATCGAGCCCGCAAACCGGGCATGTGCCCGGACTAGGAATTGAACCGGCAACCTCTTGATGCCTAGGATAACACCCAACCAATTGAGCCAAACAGACCAGGGCACTTCATAAATCTTTACATCTAGTTATTCTCACCTGTGCGAGGATTTCTACAGTAGGGTTCTGTTAGCATGCATCACCTGGAGAACTTGTTAAAACTCAGAAACTTGAGTTCCTGCCCTAGAGATTCTGGGGTGGGGCTCAAGAATGTGCATTTCCATCAAACTCCCAGATGATAGAGATTCTGTCAGTCTGCAGAGAACACTGTTTCTAGGGCATGATGGCCAACCAAGAGCCCACCCTCTTCCTTCCAGCTGTTATGCATTCGGTACTCAGACAGTATCTTATTCAGACGGACTGGCATTTAAAAAAAGAGATGTGAACCCCATGGTTTCTATTCACTAGCACAAAAACTTCCCTTGAGGGAAGGACTATTATTTAGCAGATGGGATACTGCAGGAGGCAAAGAAATTTGGGGTTAACAAGAAACAGTCGCCTGAAAATTGTAAGCATAAAAGCAGGAACAAACATTTAACCTGATTTAAGTATAAAACAGACCTAACTGGCACAGGTTATAGTTTCATGACGTTAGGAGTCAAAATCTGATTAGAACCATGAATCAGCTACCATATGCAAAGAAAGAATATTGGGAGAGACTATTTCCAAGCTTGACATCTATCAAATAGCTGGAGAGTCAGTTCACTCATGCTGTAGTAGATGGGCATTTCTGTCCAGAAATAACCACGTCAATGGCTACTGCAGAGTTTACTTTTCTGTTTCTGGAGTATGGATTCAAACCTGCAGGGAAAAACTAATTTGAAACCACATACTTTAAAAAAACATTCGTATTTTAGACTAGTTCATCAATCACCTGGACCCCAGAACACTTAGTTTTGTCACTTCTGAGTATTAACCTCCTGCTATATTTCCAGAAACTATGGGCTGATTCTGGTGATAGCACTTCCTTTTCAAGCACACTTCAAAGAGAAAGGGAAGAAAGCAGAACTGTTTCAGGCTGAGAAAGCAACATAAAATCAGCACTCGTATCTATCTACAGTAATCCAAATTCAAAAGAGAAGGTCAGGTCCCTAAACATTTCACTAGAGGTTCTAGAAAAAGCAAGGTTGATGCTCTTGCCTAGAGTACAATCAAAAGGGGGAGAAACTTGATACTAAACCTAAAAATAGAGAACAAGAGCTGTTCTCTATTTGCCCAAGAGAAAGAAAATGCATCCACCCTCATCAATGGAAGGTTATTGGGAGCTTCCTTACTAATATAACAGGATTTAGCATCTAAAGAGCTTCCATCCATTACCTTAATTCTCACAAAATTAAACAATGCTGATGAAGTTTATAATGACATGGGAAGATGCTCATGTCAAAAAAGTTGAGGAAAACAGAGAGGGCTATAAATATCCTATAATCTGTTTTTTGTGTTTTTTAAAAAATATATCTTTATTGATTTCAGAGAGAGGAAGGGAGAGGGAGAGAGAGATAGAAACATCCATGATGAGAGAGTCATTGATCAGCTGCCTCTTGCATGCCCCCACTGGGGATTGAGCCAGTAACCCAGGCATGTGCCCTGACCGGGAATCAAACCCTCAATCTCCTGGATCCTAGGTCAATCAATGCTCAACCACTGAGCCACGTAGGCCAGGCATTATCTTATAATCTTAATGATCTAAAGATGTATAGGAAAAAGACATCAATATTTTTACCAGAGGTTTGCTTTTGGGTGTAGGATTATGGATACTTTTATTCTTTCTACTTTTCTCTATTTTCCAATTTTCTATATTGAGAATATATTCAGGATTTTTTTTTTTTTTTAAAGAGAGAATGAGAGAATCTCAGAGAAAGGGAAAGAAGCTTTCCTTCTTTCTGGGCAACTATTCCAGAAATAGAGCAATTTGAACCCTATATAATATACTCTGAAATGGTTGGCAATAAGAAAAGAAGACACGTTACCTTTAGCAAAGTTGTATTTATGGGATTCAGGCGAGAATTGCATTCAACCTAAAAAAAAAGGGGAGAAAATTTTATGAACTGCTAAAAATATAAGAAATAGCTTGGCATGAGGATAATCTTCCAGGATCAACAGCTCAGTTTGGAGGTGGCTGAATCAGCCAAAATAATTTCCAAAATACAAAATGGGAGATATATTTATACGACGCTCTTTATATTGGATATTTCTGAGTAGATCTAAAAATCTGGCTAATTTCATTTTCTGAATTAGTTATAAGTAGAGTCCTTAAAGAACTACATGTTGCACCTGATTCCTCCTCCTGCTTTACGTAACACGCAGGCAAGTGACCTACTTCTTTAAAAGTGAACTGGACCCGTGGCCATGGTCAACTGCTGGGGTCTGGATGGCTTCCCAGCACAACTGGCCCTGGCTGAGCCCTGTGCACCTCCTCTGCCCATTTCTTACCCTTTTCCTATGCTCTGGAGGTAGTGAGTTTGCCATTCCTTGCACCCTGACTCTTTTCTGTCTCAAGGTCTTTTTGGCTGTCCCATCTAAAGTTGAACCCTCTATGGTTTTTCTCTCACAACAGTCATCATAATAAAGAATTATAACCATGTGTATTTATATGTTTGGTATCTTGTAGTCCTGTATTCACAAAGGCAGGGACCTAAAAAAGAAAGTTTTGGGGAGATAATTGCTAGGTTCAGTAATGTTTTCTGGCCAACTTGATCAACAGGACCTCTCACCTTTTATGTGTTTGCCAAGCACACACATACAAAGCACAGTACACTAATTAAGAGTTTGGAATCTAGTGGGGTGAAAACATAATACAAGGCAGAATGACATCACTTCAAAATTTCACAGCTGAGCTGAGAGTATAGAAGGATGACTAGACTTTCTAGAGCATGTGTGGGGTTATATGGGCAAAAGTGTTGTGAGGATGCAAGCAGGGCAATACTGGGGAGGCAGACTGAAGCTCACCATGGAAGGCAAGAAGCCATGGAAGGTTTCTGAGGTGACAGGATTTGAGCTGTTTTAAGAAAGTAACCAGCAGTGGCCTGTATGACAGACTGCAGAGGCAGTGAGACAGGGAGTTATTGAAATTACCAAGGAAAGCAGCAGTAATCCAGCGGCACTTTTGTTCTGGGAAGGTACATGAAAAACTCTTATAAAACCAGATCACCAAATCAAAGTTTTTGATCTACACAAATAACAATGCACGTAGTGATAAATAAACATACCAGTTTACTCTAGAATATGCATTAACCCTAAAGGGTAGAATTATTTTTAAAAATATATTTTTATTGATTTTAGAGAGAGAGGAAGGGAGAGAGAAACATTAATTGGCTGCCTCCTGCATGCCCCCTACTGGGGACTGAGCCTGCAACCTGGGCATGTGCCCTGATTGGGAATTGAACAGGTGACCTCCCTGTGCATGGGATGATGCTCAACCAACTAAACCACACTGGCCAGGGCAAATTTATTTATTTTAAAAGAACTTTATTGATTTTAGAGAAAGGAAAGGGGAAGGAGAGAGAGAAACATTGATTGATTACTTCCTGAATGCACCCCAACCAGGGACTGAAACAGCAACCTGGGTATGTGCCCAGCCAGGAACTGAACCTACCACCTTTTGGTGTACGGGACAACACTCCAACCAACCAAGCCACACTGGCCATGGCCTAAAGAGCAGAATTTAAAAACTTCCAGGCACAGTGCTTAGAACACAGCAGATATGCAATAAATATTTTCTGAAAGAATTCCCAAGCTTTGTTCAATATAATAAAGCATGCTTTCCTTGGTTCCCCAATTTGCAATTTCTATAACTCTGTAAGAAGTCTCATGTCTGGCAGGCTAAACGCGATGGTTGTTTTTTCATGTCTACTCCCCAAATGCAGAGAGACTCCATCTTACTCATTTTAGTATTCTCCATAACATCAAGAAAATAAGAGAAGCTCAAACAATGCTGCTGAAGCCAATCAATGACTCTCTCATCACTGATGTTCCTATCTCTATATCTCTCTCTCCCTTCCTCTCTCTGAATCAATAGATATATTTTTAAAAACTTTTTAAAAATGCTGCTGAGTCTGGCTGGCAAGGCTCAGCGGTTGAGCATCAACCTATGATCCAGGAGACCGAGGTTTGATTCCTGGTGAGGGCACATACCCGGGTTGTGGGCTCGATCCCCAGTAGGGGGCGTGCAGGAGGCAGCCGATCAATGACTCTCTCTCGTCATTGATGTTTCTATCTCTCTCTCCCTCTCCCTTCCTCTGTCTGAAATCAATAGACATATTTAAAAAAAAAAAAAAGACTTAAAAGAAAAATGCTGCTGAAAAAATGTGAGCAAGAATAACTAGCAACAGTGCTGGCTTCAGCAGCACATATACTAAAAACGACAGCTACCAAGTGACCAGAACTTGTTTTTCCTCTTGCTCTTCCATTCACAGACAGGCCTCTACTCCCTACAAACTTGTGAGATTAAAGTGCTCTTGGTGGGGAGCTAGGTCTGAATCTGTCTAGAACAGCATCTACTTTGTGGCACAGATAGGGCTACTTTTGTTCTTTGTAAACATCAAAGATATGAGCCCCACCCTGGTCAGTGTGGTTCAGTGGTTATAGAGTTGGCCCACCACACCAAAGGGTCAAGGGTTTGATTCCCGGTCAGGGGCACATACCTGGGTTACAAGTTCAATCCCCAGCCCTAGTCAGGGCATGCGAGGGGGGCAATCGATGTGTCTATGGATGTCTCTCTCTCTCACATCATTGTTTCTCTCTCTTTTTTCCCCTCTCCCCTTCCTTTCCACTCTCTCTAAAAAAATATCCATGGGTGAAGATTACAACAAAAAAGGTGTGAGCCCCGGTTGGTGTGGCTAAGCTGGCTGAGCATCGTCCCATGCACCAGAAAGTCACTGGTTTGATTCCTGGTCAGGGCACATGCCTGGGCTGCAGGCTCAATCCCCAGTAGGGGGCGTGCAGAAGGCAGCCGATCAATGTTTCTCTTTCACATAGATGTCTCTCTCTGTCTCTCTCTGTCTCTCTCCACCCCTTCCTCTCTCTCTATAATCAATAAAAACATGTGTGTGTTTTTAAATTCAAAAGTGTGGTAATCAGAAAGAGACCTTACTAAAAAATCTTGAAAAATAATTGGAAATGTTGCTTAAAGTCCATGCAATTTAAAAAAGACAAATAACTCAGATTATTAGGGAATTCTAACTAAGCGTATTTTCTAAAAATAACACGACTTTCTTGTTTTAAGTACATGTTTATGAAAAACATGTTGTTTTTAATCCTCATCTGAGGATATATTTTATTAATTTTAGAGAGAGGAAGGGAGAGGGGGAGAGAGGGAAAGAGAGGGAGAGAAAGAGAAACATCCGTGTGAGAGAGAAACATGGATTGGTTGCCTCTCGTACTCATCCCAACTGGGGACCGAACCTGCAACCTAGGTATGTGCCCTGACCAGGAATCTAACCCACGACCTTTTGGTGTACAGGACTATGCTCCACCTGAACCACACTGGCCAGGGCAAAAAAATGTTTGTTTTTGAAATATATCTTTATTGATTTCAGAGAGAGGAAGTGAGAGGGAGAAACATCAATGATGAGAGAGTCATTGATCGGCTCCTTCCTGCACGCCCCCAACTGGGGATCGAACCAGCAACCCGGGCATGTGCTCTGACCAGGAATTGAACCACAATCTCCTGGATCATAGGTCAATGCTGAGCAACGCCACCCAGGTGAAAAAATGTTTTTGACAGATATTTTTGTGGCACCTATCTCTACCTTTTCAACTAGAAAAGGCTGACCTTTATACAACTCGTTGGTGAACTGGGATCATCACTGTAATTTTATTACTTTTGGGGGAAAATTGTTTTTTGGATGTGAGGGTCATTTGCCTATGTGCTCAAGCCTTGCCATGTATTTTATATGAGACAGAATGTTTTACAGAGCAATTCAGGGCGATGTGGATATATTTTATCATCATCTGTATCTCACACTATAAACAGCCCCTCCCCCAGCACCACCTTCTTGCTTATGCCTACACGCTCCTGATTAGTTATTAGACTACCTTTCCAAAAAACATTACTGCCTAACATTTTGCTCTAAAAAGGGCAGAAGTGAAGGCTGCCAAAGAAAACCAGGTAACTTCACACAGGTACTTTATTATGTTATATATGCTGTGGGAAACACAAGCAAATGCTAATAGACATGAAAAACTGTTACTGCATCTATAATCAAAGAAGTGCAAATTAACCTATCAATTAACTACTAATAGAATTTAAAAATCCAGTGTTGGACAGGGTGCTATGAAACAGGCATTCTCATACATTGCTGATGGCAACACACTGATAAGTCCTTTCTGGAAGGAATCTGGCAAAATGTATCAAGAACCTTACAAAGGTTTATGATTTTTGAAACACTAATTCCACTTCTGGATATCCATCCCAGAAAAATGATCAAAGATTCAGGCAAAGATTTTATAAGGACATTCAACTGGAACATTATTAAGGGGACAAAATCAGAAATAATCAATAAGAGAATGAGGTTAAATAAACAAAGGTATACTTACAAGACTGAATAGTATACAGATACACTGACTTCATAATATAAAAATGCTATCAATAGTATTTAGTAATCAAGTCCCAAAACCTTGTATATTTAATACAATACAATCTATTTAAAATATATATGTAAAATAAAAGTTTGTCTTTAGGTAACTAGATCATGATTTTTCCTCAAGTTCTTCTATTTTCCAGTTTTTTCATATTTTCTACAATGAGCATAGATTATTTTTACTAATGTGCTATGTGCTTAAGAAGGAAGTAGAGAAAAGCATACAGGCTCCAGCAGCCTTCCAACTTGCTGATACAGTTCCAGATTTATGGTGGCCGCAGAAGGCTGAGGCTGCTAGCAATCTGACAACAAGCAAATGGTGTTTAGTTGAACTACTTGTCACAAAGTGAACTGATCCCTTCTGATGAAACCTAGTGTTCAATGAGCAATTAATTTTCTAAACTGGATAACAAAGAGCAAGAACTTCTATGTAATCAGAAATAATAAAAACTAGTATTTACAAACTGTTTTTAGTGCATCAGCAGTGTCCTACATACATTTTATTGCATTTTAATCTCATTAATCTTCACAACATCAGGACATACTTACCACAGCCTCAACTGCAGGTGAACTGTCCCCTACCACCAATAAAGTAGAACACCTGCGGAAAGCCAAAATAACAGGCGACATTCAGCAAGCAGAACAAATGCTCCACTGAACCCCGAATTTGTCTATGAAAGGCAGATACCCAGCAATTCAGAGTGGAAACTGGAGGACTTACTTCAAAGTCTTTGCTTTGTTATCGTTTTGGCCCAGCACGGGTCTTTCAATCTCCAGGTCTCTTCGTCTAGAGAACAAAGGAAGCAATGCCCTTTTCAGGTAAAATCATGACAACTCAGGTAATTTCCTGGTCACAAAAACCAAAATATTTCAAGGAATGTAAAAACTATCTTTCTTTCACAGCTGATGACAGAAGGGGGCCTTATGTGCTTCCTTCATAAGTAGCCATCCTGAGTGGTACAGAGCAGGAGGAAGGCTCCTAGCTCAACCCTGAAGGACTCTGTGGAATGCTAAAGGAGGCAACTGTAAAACTCAACAGGAACGCTACTGAAATCCTCAAGTCCTAAGAGTATTTAATTTTCCAACTAGTTTATAAAGGAATAAATTCCTTTAAGAGAGGGAAAATTTTGAGGGGGAACATTTTCCTTGTAACCAATAGTTATTAATAACCCTTTCTGATTTCAACTAAAAAAAATGAGGCTCTGTTCATGTGTTACTTCTGTCTGATGACAAGATGTCAGCAAAGGGAAAGTGAATCAAGTCCCAAGATTTCTATCATTTGTCTCCCCTACATGCATTTTTCTGTGCCACCTCAAATTGTGTGTTTTAATGTGTGTACATAACTTTAGGTACTTTTCATCTCAAAACACTTAAAAACTACAACCGGTATTTGAACTTGTGCACAACGGCCTTCAGTTCATTTATTCTTCTTGAAAGGGGTTTTTCTATCTGTTGGAAAGCCCTTCCTCTTCTACTATGGTAGATAAACAGCACAACAACAATCCCATCACACATCAAAAGGAGTTCATTTCCCCTTCCCCTCTCCCTTAAATATCCGTTACCTTTTTAGACCTGGTTTGCATTTAAAGTAAATAGAAAACAACTGTACCCATTATAAGACCCCAGGAAGAGGTGTAGGTTTTCTTGGTTGATATCTTGGGCAATATGCAGTCTGTAGGTTTGAATCAGGTCCAGGTTGGCCTGCAACTCTTCCTAGAACAATTGGAAGAAGATGTGGGTAAACTTCTGAGCTACAGTGTAAGCCTACTGTGTTTGGTTTGCAATCTGAATGCTAAAACCAAAGCTCCCTGCCCATAAAGGGGTTGGCTAAAATATTTTTTATTTGGCCCAGCCGGGCGTGGCTCAGCGGTTGAGCCTTGACCTAGGATCCAGGTGACCGGGGTTCGATTCCAGGTCAGGGCACATGCCCAGGTTGTGGGCTCGATCCCCAGTCGGGGGCATGCAGGAGGCAGCTGATCAATGACTCTCTCATCATTGATGTTTCTCTCTCTCTCTCTCTCTCCTTTCCTCTCTCTGAAATCAATAAAGATATATTTAAAAAAAAAAAAAAAA